CACCACCACAGACTAGGGGTTTTCTTGTCCTTTTCTCAATGGAACATCCACTTTTTGCCGATTTTGTTACGCTTTTATCCCGGAAATCAACACAATAGAAAAAGCGGGCAAAAACAATCTCAAACACCCCGAAATCGTCTAATTTTGATCTTTTTTCTCATTGCCTGCAAAAAAAAGCGCATGGAATAAGCGCATGTGCATACCTGTACAACACGCCGCAAATCCAGTGTTTTCCGCACTTTCGAATAAAACGTATCGTCCTCGTGCTGTTCTAGGACAAAAGCATCCGGATCAGACGTGTCAGCATGTCGAAGAACATAGAAGCGCAACACCCAAGTTGCCTGAAACCGTTCGTATACCGAAAAAAGAGGATGAAAACATGGCAGCAGCTGCCCTCCAGTTTTCCCAAAAGCGTAGGATAAATCACAGTAATCTGCAAAAAAAAAAAAGCCAGCAGAATTTTTTTTTTATACCATTGACATAGTCCAATTTTATCCCTCCACGATCTGTTTTGCAGTCGCTCGCTAAACGAAAGTATATGGACCGAACACATTTCTTACCTATTACAAATATTTCCTTAGTCCCTTTCCCCCGTCTTACTTCGCTTTTTCTTCGTTTTCTTCTCTTCTTCATATTTTCTCTTCAACCTCTAATACTGGGAAGTTAAAACTGACGCCAGTATGCTTTCAACAGAATCCTCCTCGCCCCGCCTCTCACATCGCTCTCTCGTCTGCCTTCTAGCCGTCTGATCACTTTACTCGCGCGCTAACGAGCACATTCTCATCAGATACATGGTGAGCAGGAGGCTGTACTGATGATTCTCACTCCTATCGGCATGCTGCATTCGGTCTGTGTTTACAGCTAAGGGATGAAACAAAAAACTGCATCCGAACATGTCTTCTTACACATGACATTTTGACTGATCCGTTATTTCCTATTCTAATGTTTTTACGTACACATCAACATATACCCATATACGTATATGACATTAATACAATAACATTGCTTGCTTCTTTACAAGTATCACTTTTGGTATATTAAAATTATCATAAATGTAAAGACTTCCTCACATTTCTATTAATTTCGACAGTTTTTCTTTCTCATTTTCATCACTCACTGTGCATCGACCGTTAGTTTATCTCGGTCACAAATCAAGCACGTCAAAGAAGTTCATGAGTTACACATGAATTTACTTACAGAGTGTTTTCTGCTGGTAAGCGTCCATGGGAATTCGCGTTCTTTCAATTTTTCCAGTACACCTTGCAGTCGAATCGAACGCACACCTCTGTCGCCGCCACTGCTCATCCTTCACAGACCCCCCTATCCAATTCCTCCCTTCATCGAAATCACCGGCACCTGAAATTTGCTCATCGTTAGCATTTCCCCAGGACACCAACCCTGTGCCCCATTTTCCTTTTCTCCTCCGATCCGCCTCGTTGAACTGCTGAGAGATTTGATTTCCCCCGGTGCAGGAATCAAATCTCTCAGCAATTCAACGAACCCATTTTTCCAGTTGATCCTGGCAATTACTAAAACTCGGCCCAGCCACGTAACATGCACTCGTCTTTGAATTTTTCTGAGTTCAGATTCAAGCACAACGTCGGATTTTTTTTGCATGGATGAATTTTTAGCCGCGGCGTTCAAGACTGCTA